GATGATGATGATGATGATGATGATGATGATGATGATGATGATGATGATGATGATGATGATGATGATGATGATGATGATGATAATGAATTGCTCCTGAGGAAGCCCAAGAGGTGAAACGTTGAGCTATGTCTATTAAACAAATTTTATACATTTTATATCTTTCAAAGTATTTTGTCTAAAAATCAAACAAGACTCTCCCTCCTACTCTGCTTTCCAAACGATGATGATGATGATGATGATGATGATTGTTATGCTGCTTAATGTTTCAGGGAGTTGTTGCGCTTCAAGATAACGGAGTCCCACCCAGACTAGCAGCCCGCAGAGCGTTTGTAACAATCAACATAATCCGCAATGACTTTGCTCCGGAGTTCACAAGTCCGTCTTGCGACGGTGACCTTAGTCAGAATTTGGGAGTTGGCACCAGTGTGACGTCTGTACAGGCAACAGACGCTGATGGCACGGTAAGATAAGATAAGATGAGAGAAGATAGATAAGATAAGATTAGTTTAGATAAGTTAAGGTAAGATTAGATGAGGTAAGATTAGATAACATATTAGATAAGGTAAGACAAGATAGATAGGATGAGATGAGATGAAGTGAGGTGAAGTGAGGTGAGGTAAACTAAGGTAAGATAAGGTGAGGTGAGGTAAGGGAAGATAAGATAAGGTAAGATAAGATAAGATAAGGTGAGATAAGGTAAAATAAGATAAGTTAAGAAAGATAAGGTAAAGTAAGGTCAGGTAAGATCAGGTAATGTCAAGCGAGGTAAGGGAAGATGAGATAAACTTCATTGATCCTTGAGGTAAATATTTTTAAGTCTTTAGTGATTTTTGCCTTTCCATGAGATGAATAATAGAGTTGCTGTTTTTAATGTAGGGTATGGCTTTTTGAAAAGTATGATTTGGAAAACTTTTGTTTCAGCTGCTCAGCACCAACATTCAATGTGGAATGTTTATAGAAACGAAACAGCTGAGTGAAAATACTTATTCTTAAAAAAATTTCCAACTTGTTTGTAGCAAAAGGTAAAACGTTTTTCTTCTGTTAAGCTCCTTGATGTTACGCTCTTTCAAGTATTGAATATACACTTTTCTGCCAAAGTTCAAGCCTGTATCTTGCATGGTTTGGCTGTTTATGTGCCGTAAGCATCTGTAAAAGTTAACCCTTTGAAACCATTATGTCTGTAAACTGGCCCAGAACATATTTCTTGGCTTCCCATAAGGCTGGTGCTTTTGAGGCTAACCAGGTTCCAATAGCGCATGAATGGACATTTGAGAAACATCAAGGATGAAAGTTCAAAGGGTAAATGAATAAAATGAAATGTATTTGCGTGGCGTCGGTGACCTAGTGGTTAGGCTCTTGGACTGGCTACCGTACGATCCGACAAAGATCAAGGGGCCAACGTTGTGTCCTTGGGAAAGGCACTTTACGCGAATTTTCCTCACATCACCCAGGTGGGAATGTATACCCAGCTATAGAAAGCAAAAAATCTTGTCAGTTTGTTAGTGTTTGAGCGTTTAATTAGCTGCTTGCACTGTATGCTTCTCGGAAAGCTGAGAAAGTTTCTGAGTGTTTTGTGGTCTGTTGGGGTAATAATATGTATAGTGTAAACCGCATAGAGCTTGTGGTTGAGCGGGGGTATGCGCTGCACAAATGCTATTTATTGTTATTATTTTTATTATTATTGTTATATTATTATTGTTATTATTGTTATGTTATTATTATTGTTATTATTATTATTATTATTATTATTATTATAATATTATTGTTATTATATTATTTTTATTATTGTTATGTTATAATTATTATAATTATAATAATAATTATTATTATATAATTATTATTATTATCATTATTATTATTATTATTATTATTATTATTATTATTATTATTATTATTATTATCATTTATTTCTCAGAGTGGCCAGTTTGGTCAAGTGATCTACGACATCATCGGTGATGACTCCGCTCCGGTGTACTTCAACATCAACCAAGTGACCGGAGTAGTGACCATCGCTACCAACCTGGTTCAAGAGAACATCGATACGTACCAGGTGTGTTGACTCAGATTGGTACTTTTTCCTTCCTCTGGTATTCATATTATGCATATAGCCATTGATGGTGTTGTGATAGTATAAATGTCTGCTTAGGTGGTAGTACTGGCGCCGTAAAACCCTCTACTACAAAAAAAAATTTATGTGGTAGCGTTAATCTAAAGAGCATTTTAAGAATAAGGTATTGTAAAGCTCTTAGAACTGTAGTGGACAGGAGTGGGCACTTTTGAAATGATCTGCATTATTATTTATTAATATTATCATTATCATTATTATTATTATTATTATTATTGTTGTTGTTGTTGTTTTTGTTGTTATCATTATCATTATTATTATTATTATTATATTATGGTCAACATTAACCCTTGACTAATATCACTTTATACTTTTCAATTGTGCAGCTGAGAATTCGTGCCAGAGACAACGGTGTCCCTTTCAAATTCAGCACCAAGGTGTGTCGTTTGACGATTACTCGAAACTTCCAACCTCCACGATTTACCGAACAGACCTACAGTACCGCAGTCCTGGAAACGGTGCCGCTAGGTGATGTTTTGCTGGCAGTCACTGCCACTGATAATGATCCTCTGGTAAGTATAGAACACTTCCTTTAACTTTTGCTTAGGTTTATCATTGTTTTCTCTCTATAGAATCAATAAGATATGCATTACAGTTGAAATTGTTCATTATGGCCACTGATGGTCTAGGAGAAAAGTAGTTTCTTAGACTAGTGGACGTCTCAGACAACATCATTAAAATATAAAGAAAAATGGGGGTTGGTTGGGGTGGCTGGGGGTGGGGGATAGGAGGTGGTAGTTTGTACAGGTGATTGTCTTGGACAGGTAACCTTCAGAGCAGGTTTGACTGTGTCTCAACATTGTAGCTTTAAAGGCCAATGAGGCATTTGGTGTAATGTTACTATCTTTAATAAAAATTCTCATAAGTTTCCTATTGGATTTTTGTTTTAATTCATTATCAGGTACACATACGTGAATTTAGTTTCTGTCGTTATCATTATTTTGGGTTATTTGGATGCTCAGTAGCTTCCACTTTTTTCTTTTCCTTGATCATGACAACATTTTGAACAATTGAAGCAGCGTGCCTCTTTAATCATCTCATTCGTGTAGACGAGGGTATAATGCATTTTCAACCACTCAGCCTTCCTGTCTTTTCAGCCGCCCAACAACATTGTCCGTTATGAGATCACGGCCGACGCTGAAGACCAGGCCTGCTTTTTGCTCAACGAGATCACTGGCCAGCTTCTGTTGAGGAGGTCGCTGCTCTACGACCCGTGCAGGGCCAGCTTCTTCTCGGTAAATAGACACGCTATTTCTTTAGTTTTAGTAAAAGTTTTATGGCACTTGCAACACAAAAAGGTCATATATGTATTGGAGATTAAAGGTGTTGCAACAGAGTAATGTGCAAAGAAAAGAAGGATAAGAGATAAGAACAACAGGTAGGAATGAAGGAGGAGAGATAATGATGATAGATGTTGGATAGGATAGGAGGAAAGATAAGGATGATAGATATTTGTAGGAAAGAAGGTATTCGTTTTGATAAATATCTGCCTGTGTGCCTTTAGCAGCCTAGAGCTTAGGGCTGAAACCATAATGTATTGTTTGCGACACTACCGTCGCGACTATTTGAAGACTTTATTGCTGTCACTTCTTTGGAATATACATGTACCTACGGAATAAAAATACAGAAAAACAAAAATTCTACTTAATAGTTCTCTATAAGAAATTTGTTTTCCTCTGTACAATGATGAAAATATATGACATTTATATTAGTAGCACTCTGCCCAGATTAAAGAGCACTGGTTCTGAGTACTTAAAAAATACAAGTAGCGAAACATGGACAATTCGTTATGTTCTGACTAAAAATCTCCATATTATTTTTTTATCTATATAAAATAAATGACATGAGCTGACTTCAAAACGAATCAAATGGTTTGATCTATCTTATAACAGATGAGAGTGATTATAATGATAATGATGATGATTATGATTATGATGATTATTATTATAATTATCATGATTCAATAAAACAAATTTAAAACATTTTACATATTTATATTTTTTTGTCTGTAAATCAAGCAAGACTCTCCCTCCTACTCTGCTTTTTAAACAATGATGATGATGATTATTATTATTTTTATTATTATTATATACAGCAGAGAGTAAAAAGGTGGAGACTTGGTAGTATTTCCAAAATATTTAATGACCCGTTCACCGTTTCGCACTCTACAGGCTTCATCAGGAACATTCAAAATATACATGAATAGAATAATCAGAATAATCAGAATAATAATAATAATAATAATTATTATTATCAGATGAGAGTGATTGCCCGTGATCAAGGCCTTCCACAACTGTCCAGCTTTGAGTCAAATGTGACTGTGACAGTGTTCAGGAACCTGCAGCCTCCACAGTTCATCAACACTCCATACGGCGTCACTCTGCCAGAGGACGAAGTCCAGGGACGTCTGGTGTTTACAGTGACCGCGATAGACAATGACAACAGGGTGAGGAATGAGGAAGGGAGAGAGAG